CCCACTTAGAAATAACCTTACTGATGAAAATGCTGATGTGACAGATATTTATTTCCCCTGCTGTATACACATATAAACACAAATAAGAAACCACACTACGAGCAAATGAATGCAAACTATCTGTATGTACAGGTGTGCAGAATAAATATGTGCAGATTTAAAAAATCAGGGGAAGAAGCAGTCTCTGGGTCCCGCAGTGCCTGCAAACCGTCCATGGACCTGGTGAGCGGGTATGATCTTCTGTCATCAAACTGAACCTACATGACACAGTTTTCCTAGGGACCCCCAAGGACCAAAAAGGGGCGGTAAGGCGTTTCCTGTTTTCAGTGTTGCACTACGTGTAGCTGTTTGGTGTTTGTGGCTTGCTAAAACGGATTTAATTTCTCTGTACTAGGATATCTCTGAGTTATTGTAGCACATAAGCACCCTAAAACACACCTTTTCTGTTGTTCCACCTAGCTTTTAGGGAACCATTTGAGTTCGCACGCAGTTTATTTGGTGTTGAACAGTTTGCTCGTCCAGTTGGCTTATCCTCAGCATGGCTATGGCTACTTCTGTCTCTGCTTCTCCATCTCCTATCTCTTGCTCTCTGTGTCAAATGTTTAGTTACTCCTCTGCCTCCTTTAGTGATAATGGTCCGTGTAATAAATGTAGCATTTTTGTAGCTTTGGAGGCGAGGTTGTCAGAATTGGAGGCCCGGCTCCGCGCTGTTGAAAAGCCCGTAAACAGCCGTAGCTACTTAGCTAGCGTGGGGCTAACTACCTCAGAACCACACTGTAGCGATCCTCCAGCAGAACCCGAGCAGCCGGGCCCTCAGGCCGGCTGGGTGACGGTACGCAGGAAGCATAGAACTCAGCCCGTGGGCCACCACCAAACCGTCCATGTTTCTAACAGATTTTCCCCGCTAAGTGACGCATCCACTGGCAAGCCGACTCTGATCATTGGCAGCTCCATAGTCAGAAACGTGGCATTAGAGACTCCTGCAACCATAGCTAAATGTTTACCTGGGGCCAGAGCGGGCGACATTAAATCTTACCTGAAACTGCTGGCTAAGGATAAGCGTAAATACAGTAAGATTGTTATTCACGCTAGAGCCCTGCACGGGCCTAAAATCTGAGCCTGTGTTCGGCCCGGCCGAGGGGGTGGAGCCCCAGCCCGACCCGGTCCGAAAAGGTTTTCAGGATTCTCTGGCCCGACCCGAGCCCGAGCCCGACTTTTGTTTAACCAACTAAATGAAAAAAATGAAAACAAAGTGTGTCAATCCTGACCAATGTGTTAAAAGACGTGCATGCGCTCTGGTTCTGTGACGCACTCCAAGCCCCTCTCCACATCTTCAGCTTGCTGTGGACCTTATGTAGTACACACTGACAGTGAGCTGCACTGAGCAGTTTCCAGCTCAGATGTTCAGATGGGAATCTTTTGAGTGATTTAGTGTTTACATTTTTTTTATGAATTCGATTAAAAATAAAGGCGCCCGGCCCGTGGCCGAGGTAATTACACAGTCATTGGCCCGAAGCCCAGCCCGATGGCCTTCGGCCTAGGGCTTCAGTGCAGGGCTCTAATTCACGCTGGCGGTAACGACATCCGGTAGTGCCAATCGGAGGTCCCTAAATTTAATGTTGCTTTGGTGTGTAAGTTTGCCAAAACAATGTCGGACTCCGTAACTTTCTCTGGCCCCCTGCCTGATCGGACCAGTGACAACATGTTTAGCCGCTTGCTGTCCTTCAACCGCTGGTTGTCTAGGTGGTGTCCTGAAAACAACGTGGGCTACATTGATAATTGGAAAACTTTTTGGGGAAAACCTGGTCTGATGCGAAGAGACGGCATCCATCCCTTTTTGGATGGAGCAGCTCTTCTTTCTAGGAACATGGCCAGTTTTATTAGTCCTCAATGACGACCCAGAGTCCAGACCAGGAAGCAGAGTCGTAGTTTAACACACCCCTCTTCAGCTTCTGTACTGTTACCCACCCACTACCCCATAGAGACAGTGTCCTGCCCACAGCCCAAATCACACTGATTAAATGTCAGGCTTAATAAAGCAAATCATGGAAATCTCATAAATATTAGAACAAATTCAACTGAGCAGAAAATTAGAAAAATTAAATGTGGGTTATTGAACATTAGATATATTTTTTCTAAGACTTTGTTAGTTAATGACTTGATTTGTGATAATCAGATTTCTTTGCTCTCTCTCACAGAATCCTGGCTGCAGCAAGAGGACTATGTTAGCTTAAATGAGTCGACTCCTTCAAATTATTTAGATCATCATATTGCTCAAAGTACAGGGTGAGGAGGAGGAGTAGCAACCATTTTTCATTCAGACTTATTAATCGATCCCTTACCAATTAATAGCTACAGTTCGTTTGAACATCTTATTCTTAGTTTTCCTAATCCAGAATGCAAAACTGTAAAACCACTCTTGTTAATAGTAAATTAGTAAATGGATATGTACCACAGGATTTTAAGGTTGCTGTAATCAAACCTACACTTAAGAAGCCTTCTCTGGATCCAGATGACCCAATGATTATAGACCAATATCTAACCTTCCATTTTTATCCAAAGTCCTGGAGAAAATAGTGTCCATCCAAGTATGTGAGCATTTAAACACTAATGATCTGTTTGAGAAATTTCAGTCTGGTTTTAGAGAGTATCACAGCACTGAAACTGCATTAGTGAGAGTTACAAATGATATTCTCATTGCCTCAGATAAGAATCTTGTGTCTGTTCTAGTCTTGTTAGATCTCAGTGCTGCCTTTGACACAGTAGATCACAATGTTCTTGTAGAAAGGCTTGAACATGTTGTAGGGATCAAAGGAACAGCGCTAGGCTGGTTTAAATCCTACCTTTCTGATAGATTTCATTTTGCAAATGTACATGACAAATCTTCTTCATACTCCAGGGTAACTTGTGGAGTACCACAGGGTTCAGTGCTTGGACCACTTCTATTTACTATATATATGCTCCCAATTGGTAAAATCATTAGACAGCATGGGATAAACTTCCACTGTTATATTTATCCATCAACCATGATGAACCTAATCAGTTAGGTAGATTACAGGCTTGTCTTGAGGACATAAAAATTGGATGACTCTGAACTTTTTGCTTTTAAATCAAGACAAGACAGAATTTCTCATCTTTGGACAGGAAATCCAGAAAATGAAATTGCTTAGTCAATCACCTGACCTGAATGGCATAACATTAATCTCCGAGAACAAAGTAAGGAACCTTGGTGTTATCTTTGACCAGGACATGTCATTCAAATCGCAGTTAAACAGGTTTGTAGGATTTCCCTTTTCCACCTTAGGAGTGATGCTAAAAAACTAGTTCATGCATTTATTACATTAAGACTGGATTACTGCAATTCATTACTCTCAGAAAGTCCACAGAATGTAGTTAAAAGTCTTCAGCTTGTCCAAAATGCTGCAGCTAGAGTTCTGATGAGAATTTAAAAAGAGAGATCATATCTCTCCTGTCTTAGCTTCCCTACGTTGGCTACCTGTTAAATTCAGAATAGATTTTAAGATCCTTCTTCTCACATATAAAGCTCTTAATAATCAAGCTCCATCATACATCAGTGATCTGATTGTTCCATACTTTCCTAACCGAGCACTTCGCTCTCAGACTGCAGGTTTACTGGTGGTTCCCAGAATATCTAAAATTAGGATGGGAGGCAGATCTTTTAGTTATCAGGCTCCTCTCCTGTGGAACCAGCTCCCAGCCTTAGTCTGTGAGACAGACACTTTGTCTACTTTTAAGAATAGGCTTAAAACATTTTTATTTGATAGGGCCTATGGTTAAAATCTGATGTTAGCCTAAATCTGGACAAGTGGGGGAGTAGAGGGAGGTGGAGTGTACAGTCGGTAAAGACGGCTCTCCCTTGCCCTGCCTCCAACATGCCTCCATCTAAATAGGATAGATTATCCTGAGTTATCTCTGTAGTTATGCTGCTATAGGCTTAGACTGCTGGAGGATACACTGACCACTTTTCACACTCTACTGCTTTCTTCTACAATCTGCTCTTTAACTGTATTATTTTCTGCAATTTCAGCTGTTAACTTTATTTTCTCTGTAAGTGTTTTTCTCCCCAGAAGAAGCTACAACGATGTTCTGCTGAGCCGTAGTGGCCTCATGGAGGGGGCCATTGTCTAGCACACTGCTGCTAACCACTTAAACATTCTCCCTCTCCTGATAATAACTTTTTGCTTTCCTTGACGTTGGATGTGCTACTACTAGTTTACCCATTTAATTATAGATTCACTAGAATAAATACAATAAAGCTTATCCCTCACCAAATAGAATATTTACTAAGAAATCACAATGTAACCATAGGCACATTGCTTGGTGTGTGTGTGTGTGTGTGTGTGTGTGTGTGTGTGTGTGTGTGTGTGTGTGTGTGTGTGTGTGTGTGTGTGTGTGTGTGTGTGTGTGTGTGTGTGTGTGTGTGTGTGTGTGTGTGTGTGTCTGCTCTGTCTTCTCGATCCCCATTGAGTCGTGGTAGATGGCTGCTTATACTGAGCCAGGATCCTCTGGAGGTTTCCTCCTGTTAAAAGGGAGTTTTCCTCTCCACTGTCGCTATATGCTTGCTTAGTATGAGGACTGCTGTAAAGTCACTGACACTAGTCAGTGACTTGATGCAATTTGCTGGGTTCCTTATATAGGAAACATTTTTTTCTGATTGGCTTAATGAACTGACCTGAATTGGAATGTTTATTATGTGAAGTGCCTTGAGATGACTCTTGTCGTGATTTGGCGCTATATAAATAAAATTGAATTGAACGGTTACTTGACTGTGATAAAATTATTAAATTAATCCAAGACATGAATCATATTTGTACTGGTTAACTTTACAATAGACAGAATAAAAATATTGCTTTTTCCCTCTACTAAACTTCCTGAAAGCATGGTTTACTTCTGCTTCTGGTAAAAAAAAAAAAACTAAAAAAAAGGAATGATTGAGAAATGACTGATGGTGCAAGAGAGGAGGAGTACTTCCTGTCTGTGTCGTATTTAAGGAGCCTTCTAGTTAGAGTCAGTAGAACAAGAATTGATTCCTAATGCTGGCTTCTTTACCTTTTATTTCATTGTTTACTGATAGTTGTACTCATTTTTATATTTAATCCAACACCAGATTGTGGCTGAACTGAAATGCAGGTAATTGGAACAAATGTCTCTGGGTTTGCTCAGGATCCTTTTTCTTTTTTGTTTCTACTCCCATTAGAGGACTTTTCTTGTGAATTGACTGGACAAAGGCAAACCAAACTCAGATCAGACTAAAGGAACCACTTCAACCTTGGTTTGTAGTGCAGAAGAACATCAAAATATAATGATGTATATTTTCTGTTTTGATTTTGATTCTTCAGAATTTCTGAGATCCAGAATGAGGGACACATGGACTACTGTGAGGAAAAGCTTTGAGGAGATCATTTCTCTGTCACTAGATGTTTTCACCTCTGATAAACCGAAAGGCTGGAGAAGAACTGTTCTCCTCATGGTCACTTGTAGTTTATGGAGCCTCCTGCTCAGCTCCCTGCTCCTCCTGTACCTTCTCTTCACCCTGGACTATAAGCTCATGGTGGCTGGAGGAATCGCCAGCTGCTTTGTAGTTCTGCTGACCTTTGCCCTTTTCCTGTCAAAGAGACTGAGGTGTTTAGGGACCCTATTTGTAGTTTCCATTTTCATGAAGAAAAGCCGAAACCTGCTCCTGACAGCAGGAACAAGTTTAGTTGTTCTCAAAAATATTCACAACACTCTGGAGAACCTCACGCTCCTAGTCCGCAGTATGATTTGCAACCTAAAGATGAAGAAAGCATCAATCATCGCTCCATTTGGGAATTACATCAGGATGCTAGAATGGATTGGAAACATACTGAAAGGAGTTACGGATCTAGGGTTGGTTAATCTGGACTCAAAGCTTGATGTTTCTCCCAGAATAGAGTCAGAACATTTTAATGTGAAGCTAAAGGATGCAGAGCAGAAACTAAATGAGACTGTAAAATACGCCCAAGCCCTGATTGAGACCGTCTCTTCTGTGACCAACAGATTGTTACCTGCCCTCAGCTTCCTCGTGCTCATGATGTTCATAACTTTACACATAAAAAGATACTGCAACAACATGAAATATGAGAACAGGTTCATCAGCAGTAAATTTGTTCTTTTTGATGAAAAGCAGAAGGCGGAAGGAAAGCCCCATGTTCTCCCGCTCACCGAGGTGGAGGGGAAACTGTATTTCTTCATCCCCTCGGCCCGTCCCAACACCAAAGAGGGGAAAGCTGTCCTAAAGTTTGGGGCCCCAGTTCTCTCCCATTTTATAGCCTGGATCATAGTTATAACTGTAGATGCCTTGTTGTACTGCTTTGTTGACATTGTTACAAAGAAGTTATCAGCGCTGGAGCCTTTCCATGTTCCCTTATTAATAAGTTTTAAAGTAAGTAACCCTAACCCTAACCCTTCACTCAGCTGTATGATGAATATTAAATTGTTGATCTTTACAGGGAATTTCAACCTTAATCGGTATACCGTTTGATGAGAAAAGTCAAGAAATGGACTTCTCCTTTTCTGTGACCTTATTTGAGGAACAGTGCCTCCCTGAACCAAAGCTGCTGTTGTACAACTCAGTTTTTCCTCTCAGCATCATCTTTCTGGCCCTGATCCTCATGGCTCTGATAGCATCCAAGGTTTCTCAGCTCAGGCTGATAGTCTGCGAACGATTCTTCACCAGTGCAGGACACGCCAGAGTGGAGTATCTGCATCGCAAAATCCTGAAGAAAAGGTCCAAAATGAGGACGGAAAGAAGTGAATTCAGCCTCAAGTCATTTATAGCTAAGGTTTGAATTTTAAAACATTGTAAATATAACATTTTTTTGTTTTCAAAATGAAATGTGTCCTCTGACATATATCGCCTTGCTTTGCTTTCTTCAGCCACATTTCTGGTGCCCAATAATCTTCAAAGCCAACAACGATCCTCAGAGAACCTGAAACATGACACCAAAGGTCTGATGAGGGCTGGAGATGAGGTTGGGTCGTGATTGCTTCAATCTGGTTCAACTTTAGGGCAACAGGGAGGAGAAGGTCCTCGGAGGATGAGTTTTGCATATTTGTTTCATTTTTAGATGTTTATTATTACTAATAGCACTGATGGATTAGATTTATACAGCACTTTAAAAAGCAGACGTGTCTGCTCAGTACCAGAACTGCATGATGTCACTAGCTACTAAAATCCACTGAGCATACAGAACTTGCAAAATTAAGTGACTCAACAAAGTAGAATGAAAGCTGCTGTTATTTATTTGTTGTTGATGTTTATAGAAACTAAATATATCTGCAGGGCTTTAGGCCCAAGGCAGTTATGTCTCAGACCCATTTTAGATCATGACCCGTTAACAATAATATTATGTATTCTTTAGACCAATCTGAATATTCTGTAAAGTTCATAGACATCAAAACCATAGAAACAAAATAAAATCAATATAAAAATAAAAACTGATCAACACTGTTTCTTCATTAAAAGAATAGTTTTCTGTGAACACTTTATATATTTGATATTGTCCAGCTTAAGCAGACATCTGCTTATTTCAAGCAGAGCTGAGCTGTGGGAGAACATTTCAAACTTATTTATTCTAAATTTTTATCGCCTTTGGGTTTAGTGCATTCACTTAATATTAATTATAAAATTATAAATAACAGGTCACGACAGTCTGGGCATAGAAAGTGTTTCTAGGAACTAAAGCTTGTTGGGTTAGGGTTGGGAGCAGCTCACCTGTTCCACTGACAGGAGAAATCCTCTCATCAACAGGTGATCAACACAGTAACACCGACCCAAAAAACAAAACAAAAAAAAAAAACACCAACTTCAAACAAGGCCACCGGGAATTTCCCCGGTCGGGGCCTGGTTCCGCCCACCGTCCCCGTTAGACAGGAGCTGCTCATCAAGCTATGGTGACACCAGAGCTTGGCTCTATTGGCACTCATTAGTGCGACTAGATTCTACAAAGTTCTCATAAATAAACACACAGCTTACATCTGGCTCATATTAAACCAAAGCCAAAGCCCAATGCAGGAGCTAGCTTGTAATGAGCTCAAGCCTTTTTGCCGCTTGGGTGGTGGGGAGCGGTGGGGAAACGCATTTAAACAACAGAACTGACCAGAATACTGACGTAACACCGGCGCACAGAGTAAAGGTGTGGGTTTCAATTAGCAACAGGAGAGTGTGGGAGAGAGGGCAAACACAGCAAGAGAAACACAAAGTGAACCGACTGATAGTAAAGTTTTTGAGCTAAACTATGGGAAAGGTGTGGATGTTTAACCTCCTCATTATGGGTGTTAAAACACCCACATTCCCCACGGGTGTGTCGCCCATGGGTCTGAGGACGCTGAAAATGCCTATAAAAATTTCTCTAATCTGGTTGGTCCAAAACTAAATAACGAATCCTTAACCCTCCCACTGTCCTTTTGGGTGACCACCACCTCATCCCTCCCACATGGACTTCAACGGATAAACCATCAACCCTGCTCAATGGTCATCTTTCCTGGAGGGGTCACCCAATCGGACATTGGGAGGGTTAAAAGAAGAAACAACTCCTCTATTGAGTAATCCAGCAAAGTGTCCAGCCTTCATGCTAAGCTAACTTCTCATTGGGAGATCAAACCAGACCTTTTAACAGAATGTAATTTAGCAGCATGAGAACCATCTCATCCGATGTGAAACAGTCCGCCAGAAACCACCTATGAAGTATCAGTTCGACCAAGTGTACATATTCTGAGAGGGCCTTTGACTCTCAGATACCTCAGAAGTCCACGCACTCCATTGGCGGAGACGGCTTTGCTTGCCGATCTGATCCCCAAAAACTTCTACTACGCTGGTATGTTGGCGCTACACTGGCGCTGAATGGGTTAAAATTAATTTGATAACTAATTAAATATAAATAAAATTCAGCAGATTTATTTTATAAATCACATCTTTCTGAGTCACTTAATCATCAGAGTTTATTCATTGTCTCAGTTGATATTAACTTGAATCACCATTTATAATAATTTGTCCTGCATCATCATAGTAATAGAAATACAGTATTAAATAGATTTTTATAAACTATATTTTTGCCTCTGTGTTAAATTATTATAGTGTTGTTTCCCTGGCATACCCAAATTACCTACTTTCATCACCAATTGAATATTAAAGGTTCAATAAAATTGATAATCCATATTTTTATGGAAGATTACATTTAATTGAATACCTATTTATATTATCGACAATTTATTAAAAGTAGAATAGTAGATGTTTGGACAAAAAGATCAGTTCTGATCAGACTAAGCTAACCTGCCAAAGTGGACCGCTGCAGCTTTAAACCTCAAATGTCAAACATTTCATGGTGATTCATGTGAACATTGTTTTATAAAGCTTTGCATCCCTCTCAGCTTAAGCATTACATGATTATTTGCAGAATGTTTGAGGTCTGCATAGTAAATAGCAGCAGCAGCAGCTAGTTGTAACATCAGTAGACAACATATTTATTATTTGTCTGCTAAAATGCAAAACAGGCTGTGGTATAAAAGTTCATTAATTGACTTTTTCTTGCCCTTGTTCAGGGTCAGTTCCGTCTAATTAATTATTAGAGCCACTACTAAAAAACAGGTGAGTACTATTTCAAGAAGTTTCCATATAAATGTGACAGGGTGAGTGTCACTGTATCTCGACTGATCATGCGCCATGGCTACGGGGATGTCCCTTTGGCTGACTGGTTAGCACGCGTGACTCTGACCCCGGAATCTGGGGACCAAATCCCACCTGGGCCCTCATTTCTCCATCTTGCCACATAAATTTTACCTTAAACTTTCCAAATATTAATTTTATAGTATTTATTAAGTAGGTAGCTTAAAGTGAATCTGAAAAGAAAATTACTTTTTTGTTAATGAAAAGGCAGAACTTCACCCACACATGGAGGAAACCCTGACATCATGATGCCTCACAAATAATGTAATCATTTAATTCAGAAATTTTTTAAGTTTGTGTAATTATCCATCCATCCATCCATTTTCATCCGCTTGTCCGGAGTCGGGTCGCGGGGGCAGTAGCCTAAGGTGAGAGGCCCAGATTTCCCTTTAGGTCTCCTCCTGGTTGGACGTACCCAGAAAACCTCACCAGGGAGGCATCCTGACCAGATGCCCGAGCCACCTCAACTGGCTCCTCTCGATGTGGAGGAGCAGCGGGTCTACTCCGAGAACCCCCCCCCCCCCCCCCCCCCCCCCCCCCCCCCCGAATGACCGAGCTTCTCACCCTATCTTTAACCCCTTCTTTCCACCGGAGCCGTCAGCAGCGCGTTACTGCATCAGCACGTCTTGCTCGCGTAAGCTGCTGCTTGGCCCTTTCCTTGAGACGCGAAGCAGCAGGGGAGCAGCTGTCACCGACAGAGCGTGAAGTCACACGAGTGACTTTGTCAG